GTAAGGCATAGCTTGTAAAACATGAACACGTTGCTAATGTTACACCATTTACCAGAATATCTTTGTCGCTCGAAAACAGTAGCTGCCAATTGCTGCACAGTGCAACTTGCTGTGTAGGTTACTGCTTCAGAGCGACAAAGAAGAATTGATTTCTGGGAAAACTATTGTTTTTTCCGGATGTGAAACTACTTTTTAATAAATTACGTATTGAATGGGTGCATAAACTTTTGTACTTGCCGATAACCAATCCAGCATTTTAAGCAGTATTTGAGGCATTAACAATACTGGTATTGATATTGAAACAGGTCTTTCACTCACCCTGTGTTGCGTTGAATTCAGGGTGAAAAAAAAAATCCAACAACAACACAGCTGTGCTCCATTGGCTTAAATGTAATCGTTTCAGATTTCCTTCATTTTCAGGGTGGTTTTGTGGATTTGGAGCTAAATGTTGTGCCTGGGGCACATCGTGTATTAATGATACTCGTTACCTGGAGAGGTTGGAAAAAGATATACGTTTGTTCCCTGTTCCAAAACCAGAATCAGCCCTGAAAAGTGTAGGGTTAGCTAGCTAGCTACTGAAGATATAGCCTACTGAATGTATACACATGCTGCTTTTGCTTTTTAATGATTATAACAGTGAACAATGAGCAACCCTGCTGTACAGGAACCAGTGAAGGGAAGCAGGGGAACTTTGCTGATATTCAACCAGCTGTGTGTCATCGCAGTGTGCGCAGATGAAGCCAAACACTGTTCATCTGCACACACTGCGATGCCACACAGCTGGTTCAATATGAGCAAAGTGAAGTGTCCCTTTATATTCATTGTCTTGTGTGGTGATCAGCAGTGATGTGGTGGTTCACTTTTACACTGTGATCTGTGGCCTATAGTTCAGCTTTAGCTTCTAACTATCTTTGTCTTTTGAACCTGTTGTTGCTGCTGAGTCAGTTTGACATCCTGGATATATCCTTCAAACACAGACTGTAGACCCCTCTGTCTGCTTCTCTCTGGAATCACTCTTTCATTTTTACAAAACTATGATAATATTTCTTCAGGGAGTGCAGTTAGTTACTGTGTGGGCTCCATGCTTACTGTGACAGCTTGTTGGACCATCACAAAGGGGCGGGGCTTAGAGTCTGTGCTGTTAATACTGGAATATTCCCGATTCAGCATTACACAGGGTGAGAAATTGACATACAAATGATCATCTGGGGGGGAGAAGTATTCCTTTACATTAAATTGGGTGTAAGGTCAGCCTCTAAAATGACTAAAATGACACACAAGACAACCGGTAAAATTACTAACAACCAGCTGTGCTTATGTTGGCACCCCGATAACTTTGCAAAATATAGTGCTTGGCTTTAATGCTTGGAGGCATGTGCAGTAATAAATAAAGAAACATGTGGCTCGGTGTTCTGAGTTTGAAATCGTGATTACTTTAGATTCATTTTCATACTCTAAATGTAAACATAAATGTACTGAGGGAGATTTACTAGTGTATGTACAAAAGCTGATGGAAAATTCTCTTTTTAATATCCCCGGTATGCACACAGTGGGCTCATTGTCTTTCTCTCGCACACTGCAGGCTTCCACCGTAGATGTAATATCAGCTACCCTCCAGTCACCTACGCACAGCTGGAATGCACTCTTACCCACCTTCCGTCTGTGCCTTTTGATTAAAACCCTGTCCTTCTGCCTCTATACCAACCTGCCATGCCACAGCTCAGACGTGAGAAGACGGGTTATTTCAGCACTTCAGCCTGTCTACTGTAACTCAGTGTCAGAGAACTCAAAGACTGCACTGTAGTCAGAATGTACAATATCAAATATTTTTTTGCGTCCATTGTGTGACAGCGTGCCGTACAATGCTATAGTATATGCTATAGCCTCTTCACTCCTACCTACTTAAATGTATTCATTGTGCAGCCACTGTGTCTCAAAATTGGGATTCATTTGGATACAGAAACAGAGCACAATAAGGTCTGGTGTTTTTAATCAATTATTTATCCAATATTTTAATGATCAGAGTGCCTGGGGTGATCAAAGGCTCGGTTCGAGCTCCACTGCCTTTGCTCGCTAAGACATCCCTCTGTACTTTGATGTGGTTCACCAACAAATGCACTTATCTTAAGCATAACTCTCTTTCTCCCAGGCTTGCATGCGGGTGCTTTGAAACCGCTAGTTTGAGAGGCGTACATACAGAGAGAGGGTCACTGACCAATCTATACTGAGGGGGGTGGGGACTCTTACATTTATGGTCTCCAGCAGTCGGATGTACAACTACTATTTTGAATGTCATCTAAGTAAGAGACAAGCACAGGTCACCTTCTCCGATCCCTTGTGTACATTATCATATATTTAATTGGCTGGCAAGGTCCCTAACTTGAAGTATGTGTTACGAGATGCTGAATAAAACATTACTTGGAGAAGAAACAACTGCTTGATGGCAGCCTCAAGTAAAAAAAATCCTGCTTTAAATGACCAGTCAGTGGATGCAAATGAGTAACTCCTCAAACAGACCTGACAAAGGTCGGTGTGCTCAAATATGCAGAAAAGAAGAGAAAGAAAACATTTTTATTTTTTTTTAGATAAAATAACATTTATTTAAAAATTTAAATCGAAACAGTTTGCATTCCTTGTCCTTATCATTTAATATGTAAGGGTTAATGTCAGTCTGGTGTAGTGATGGGTACAGTATGAATTATACTTAACAGCTTTTGACAAGGTTATAAGATCTATCAAGACACATTCTCGCTCTGGCCTTGTCACATATTAACATTTGGTCATGGACCTTCCACATACACACACAATGTGAAAGGTACCCTGGGTGTGTTGGTTGCTGCCATTCTGGGACACTGTGACAAGTTCTGCCTGTTGCATGCAGTGTCTCCTTTCAAAATACATCTCCATTTTCACGGGACATTTAACATTTACATGCAGTCTCTTTCAAAATAAAAGCATTACGTCAGAACAGTGCAGCACTAGGAAAAAAAGAACAGGGTTTGGCTTTACGTGACGTAGGAAGGAATCCAGGAAGTAAACGTTTTGTTTTCTCCCTGGATTTTTCCCACATGGAAATTCTGACCAATCAAGAGCAGTTTTCTTTGGCAAAGCATTTGATTAGGTCCGCTTGTAAATGCTGCAGTGAGAACACGAACCAACTCTGGGCAATTATGCAACTTTGTAAGAAAATTAGTCCCTGATTTCGGCACGGTGGTGTGGTGGTTTGCACTGTTGCCTCACAGCAAGAGGGTTCCTGGATCGATGCAGGGTGTAGGAGCCCTTCTGTGTGGAGTTTGCATGTTCTCCCTGTGTCAGCGTGGGTTTTCTCCGGTTACTCCAGCTTCCTCCCACAGTCCAAAGACATGCAGGTTAATTGGTGACTCTAAACTGTCCGTAGGTGTGAATGTGAGTGTGAATGGTTGTCTGTCTCTATGTGTCAGCCCTGCGATAGTCTGCCGACCGACGAGAGGATAAGTGGATGGAAAATGGATGAATGAATGGATAGTCCCTGATTTAGATGTAAAAACAAGTAAAGTCCGCACACCAAAATAGCTCCAGTCAAGTGTAATTTATTTAAAGCATGACGTTTCGAGCCACGTCGGCTCTTCCTTAGATGCTTACAATCCCTGATTTAGACCAAAGCAAGACAACTCTAGGTCTGAAAGCACCCTAAGTCTAATGTTTATTGTAATGTTTGATCTGTTTTGGTCTCCACCAACATGTTTGAGGTTGGACATGACATGAAGTTATTGGTGTATAAGTTAAAACCAGTCCCGAAACTAATTCTTTATGAAAAATTAAGATGTTGGCATTGAGCAGAGCTGTGCCACAATGGCTATAAATGCTAAAAATGATAACTCCCCTGTTACAAAAGATATATTTAAAAAATGTAATATTTAAACTGTTAAAGATGAGACAAACTGTTGGTGATGTACTGTTGATATTATTCACAGAAAGCATGTAGTCGACAACATACAGCATGCATGCTTCTGTTTTTCTGCGCTTCATGGCAGTGTGATGATTATCTGTTTAAATGGCTTAAACATGCTCCTCTCCACACAAACTTTATAAACACCCCACAATAGTGTTTATTTGACTGTGGCAGGCAGTCTACTTGTCAGAAGTTTAGAGACCTTTACTTTTTAATTTAGTTTTGTTGTCCACCATGAAGCTCCGTTTTGTTTTTGATGAATAGCTTTGGGTGCGCTGCTCTATCGCTCAGTCAGTAGCAGCATCCCTCGGTGAACAATTATGGCGGGATAATCTGTTGACATGAACTTGTTTCCTGTTCATTGTTTTACCGTTCCACCCCAGCGGTCCTCTCCGCTTCTCCCCTGTCTAAGTGGCTCCTCACTGCCAGATTTCTTCTATTTTCTTTGCAAATCAAGTCATGTACTCAGATTATTATACACAGTACAAAGAAAACAAAATTGGTGATTAAAAATTAAATACTCTTATCTCTCTGTGAGTTATCTCAGTCCCCAGAGAGAGGATGCTATTTTGCAGGCTTGCGGGTGTCTTTTGTTCCCAATTTAGAAGCTTGTCGCTGTTTATTGTTAATTTTTGATGCTCCATTTGATATTCTGTTCACTTTCCTCCCTGACATGCAGAGAAAACATCTTTATCAAAGTGTCAGTTGTATGGCTTGTGTTGTCAGAATGTCAGGTTTGCCCTATTCTTTACATTTCTGGGGAGCGAGGGTGTGTACTCTGCAGCCCAGTTTGTTGGCGTGCCAGCTGAGCACGGAAATGCGCTGTACAAATTCTGCGTCTGAGGGAGAAATCAATATGTATCCTAAATCTCAATTCCAGCTTAAAAAAAGACTTTCAACCACAAAATCCATGAGGTTGTCAATTGTGAACTCTGACTGACTTTAAGAAGACTGGAAAGTTCCCAGTGCAGTTTCTTTTGTTGGCTCCAAATATCCATTTCCATAGTAAATCCTCTGTAGAGTTACAGTCAGACAGTGATGTGAAATGACTGTTCTTCTGTCTTTGCAGGAGGCCTGTCAACTTGGCAAGATAACCTCTGTGAATGTAAGTCTGTTCTCTGCTCCTTCTTGCATGTGCATTTCCATAAGCGCAAGGTCTGTCACTATATGTTACATAAGTTACACTCACAATAACTCTGCGTCTCTCCCACATCGTCTTTTGTGCCTGACATTCACATGTTGTTGCTATTTGAGAACCACAAAACCACAGTTTGATTTTAATGTTTTAACTTCAGTTTAAAGGTTCTGTGGGTTCGACGTTAAGACATCAGGGTTATGAAACAATTGTAAAAACCCATTTGTGATCTAAAAAAAAAAAGAAGAAGAATATTTTAGAGATGAAACGTTTTCATCCAAGAACGAAGATTGATCTATTCATCTTGTTCATGACTCCACTTGTTAATTTTTTTATATATCTTTCTGTGAAATTGCTTTGTTACTGCATGAATGTGTCTGAAAAGTTGTGCTTGAGGTTTTTAAGTTGCCTCGCATTCTTTTTTTTCTTCCAAGTATGTATTATTTTATTTAACCAGCAGAAATGTGTTCTCAGATTTATATTTTTCCATTAAGAACAACAGCTTCTTCTCGTCCCTTTAAATGATTCTTTTTTTTTCTCTTTAGCGAGGGTAGCTGTCATGTAAAGTTTTGCTGAGAGTGCCATGAAAATGTCTTAACTTTCAATTGTCTGTATTGTTGCTTGTTTAAGTGAAATATTCATTTCAGCCCAAGGGCACTCCACAAGTCATTGTTAGACACCATTAACATTAAATCCAATAGTGTTGCGGCATCTGACTGGCATACCCTCTCTTTCCTTTTGCAGTGTTTCAGTTGTGTTTATCTTGCAGATCATGTCTGCACACAGTCACAGAGTTTGGTCAGTGACAACAGGACTGTCAGAGTTCCTCCTGAACTCTGCACAATAATGTTTAAACTTTTTCAATTTCGGCAGAGAATATCACTGCACACCACGGCTCGTGTGTTTAATCCAACACATCCTCACTCCCATCTCATTAAATGCCTAGCCTTTGGTCATTGCCCCTACGAGTCATTGTTCATGGACATTGTTCATGGATATGACGTGCAAGGTACCCTGGGTGCGTTTGTTGTTGACGTTCTGGGACGCCGTGTCAAATACTGCGTGTTTCATGTATTGTCTCCTTTCCAAATATGCTTTAGTTTTGACTGGAAATTTACCGTTTACATACAGTCTCTTTCAAAATAAAAGCACTACGTCAGAACAACAGTGCAAATTCATGTTTTTTTTCCCCCAACAACTAACGCATGTGGTTAGGTTTAGGAAAAAAGAACAGGGTTTGGCTATATATAATCTTATAGGACGCTAACACCCCACTCTTGTGTGAAATTCAGTGGTTGTTGGACCCATCCACCACCCCTCCCACCTGCCCCACTTAGATTTTAGCCACCTTAAACTTTCATTGTTGTCCCACCGTGTTTCCTCCTGACACTGCCAAGCATCGTTAAACTATAACGGCGACCAGCCACATATAATGCTGATGGTAAAGGACAGCTTTTTTGTCAGGGTCTGCAACGCAAGTCGCTGCCAAAGCACCAGATTTTGACGACTCAAAATGAGACTAGGTTGACTAGGTTGAGTACCCCTCTAGCATCATTTTTGGATGCTCAGAGATGGACTGTCAGTTTCTGCTACTTACATGAGTAGTGTCTTTTCAAAACTTCTGTTTGTACAGTTTCTGCTTGTTACATGTATACAGCCTCTTTTCAAAATAAACTTTAACCAGTGTAGGTTTAAATCGCTTTTAGGTTCAGGCAACAAAAGTACTTGGTTAGGTTTAGAAAAAGAGAAAAGATCATGGTATGGGTGAAAATATGTACATTTCTTACTAATGTCACGTGATATACTACATTATGTTGGTATATAAATAACTCAATGTTGACTTTTAGTCAGTAACAGCAGTCTACTGGGTCAAAGTCCTGTGTTTGTTTGACCCATCCAATAGAGGTGTAAATCACCAGTTTCAAAATAAAAGCGTATCCTAAAGATGATGATATAGAGATCGATGTTTTCACTTTGCATCGATGATACTAGATCGTTGATCATTGAATCGATATATCAATCTCGATCAAGGGATCTTTACACCCCTACCATCCATCCATCCTCTACCCCATCCTATGTGGAGTTTCTTGCTCTTTACACTGTGTCAGTTGCTCAGAGCTTCTTATAATGACGCAGTTCGATGCATCTTGTACTGACGCTTGAAGGTGCCTTGCCACTGCCACATATTGGCCAAGTGTAAATATTTGATAAGTCGGGCTGTTCTCATGCATACCTAGCCTGGCAATCCACACCCAAATCTAGAAAGATTTAGGGTCTTGCTATGAGTAATGCAACTGGCCCAACTCGAGGGGCGGCACCAAGCGTGCATTTGAAAATATCACTGCACACAATTGGATAACACTACGACCAATCAGAACAATACACGGGGTGACGTATCCAGAGCTTAGCTACCAGCGGAGCTAACTGGTAGATTAGACCAGAGATATTGGATGAAGGGAGATACCCAACTGTCTGTAGGCTTATCCAATGTTAAGAAAACGGTTACTCTTCCTGTCTCCTAAGTGGGCGTGGTTAGCTCTCCCTCCAATCAGAGCCTGTTCTCCCTCAACCCCCCCACCACCACCACCACCATGTTGAACAGAGGCTCTGTGGATGTCTGTGTATGCGGATCGAGAAGGAGGTGGAATGAAAATACATTCTTCCTATTATTGCAGCCTATTGTTGCACAAAGCTTGGGCATTTTTTTATTTATTACTAGCAGTAAATAACTGTTTGTAAGCTAACAGTGATTTTACTGCCTGTTTATCAAGATCACGAGATCTCGCGAGAACTTGTTTTCTGAGACAGACAGGGCTCAAACAAAGTTAACTTTCTCTTGATCTGTGCGGATAAAAAATGCAGCTTTAGTGTCAGAATGTTGGTAAGATGTGTGGCTTGTGGAAAATGAACCCAATATTTACTTTAGTGACTACAGGGCGAAAGAATTGACCATAAATTGTGATCATGTTCATTTTCCTCATTGACGACAATACATTCAGAGCTGCCGCAAGTCTCCTACGGGGGCATGGCGCTGACATCACTGAATCAGGAAGTGAGCTGAGTTGGGTATCTCGCTTCATCCAATATCTCTGATTAGACTCTTGCCATATCCAGTCGGCAAAAAAAGCAAAAACGTCCTTCTGGCAAAGGAAAGATTCGAGCGCCGTCTTCTGTTCCCCTTTTAGAGAAAAAGCCAAGTCTAACTTGTTCATTGTAGCGGCCAAAGCCATTTCAAACAACTGGTGTTCATCCGTAGCCATCTTGCAATGTTTACTGACTGATTCCAGACTTCGTCGTCGCAGCGCTGTCGTCATCTGTTTAGCTCGCCTCTGGCCCGCCTATATCAGATACACCCATGTGATTGGTGCAGCATCATTACTGATTGCCAGAGTGACTCGCTGAGCAAATTCAAATTGTGCTCTCATGAGAACTCTGGATTTCCAGGGTAATGCATACCAGTATACCTATGAAAAGTAATGCAGCACAATTCACATATAACCCCCAGAATCATGACCCACTCATTTGTATATTCATTAGATATATAAACCGTTGGATGAGGATGTGTTGGACAAGTTTTGAGTGAGAACAGGTTGGTTTAGTGAGAGCATCAAAACATTATCAGTCTAATGTTTCTAATATCATTTGATATGGATTTATAATACAACAGACAGATATCTGTTGCTTCTGTATTCCTAAGCCATTATATTTTTTATCATCTGACAAGAAAGCATTACAGTTTTTTAGTGCTCAAAAGAACATTACAGTTCAGTGTAAGACCCTGCTTTACTAGGACTGGAGAATATAACTAGCACTGACATAGTTCATGTTGCACAGAGAAGATCATCGTAGCATATGACTCAGTAACAGATGAAATTGATAAAAAAAAAAAAAAGAAGCATTTGATTTGTCAGAAATCACCCAGTTATCTCTCAACCCACTTGCTACAATCACCTCCTTCTTGCATGTTCCCGCTAAGTCATCATTTCACACACAGTGGCATATCACCTCACACATAATAGGCTGCGCTGGAACAGCATGTACAAAGAGAAAGGACACACCCACAAAATCAAATCACCAACAGATTTTTTTGTGGATGCTGAAGAATCTTGACATGAAGCAAAATAGGGACAGCGTTTTGGGGGATAAAAACCTCGCTGTTGCTGTTTTTTTTATTTTATTTTTTTTTCCTTCCACATGTGCGACTTGACAAATCACCATCTCCTCTGAACAGATTTATGCAGGTCTAGGTGTGCCCGCAAGCTGATCCTTATCTGAAATGGCAGAGCCCATCTCCCCTGATTCACTCCTAAGTGGTCCCTGTTTATCACTCAAAGTAAGGTGGTTGTCAGCCAAGTCCTTCTCTGTGCTGCACTGACTTCTTTGCTATTTCTAGAGAGTGGTAGTCCGGGGAAAGAGTATATAATAATAATAAAACTCAAAGAGCTGTGGCCGACCAAAGGACAAGGTTGCAGCCACTTGGTCTCTCCTCCCTTCATATCTACAGACTTCTAATCCTGTAACCCGTGAATCCAGCCCCATCTGCCTATTGTCTGGGTGGTTACCAGAGGGAGGGTTTTTGGATTGGCTGGCTTGTTATATGGTAGAACTTGGCATGCATCTCTCCTGTTCATTTTATCTCTGTGTACATACTTCTCAAGGCAGTGTTTTATCTGGCTGAACGGGCTTTGTTTGTTCTTGATATCTCTTACCACAGCTTGTCTTTGCTTTATGGATTTCTGGCAGCTTCTTTAAATAAGTGATAATGCTTAGCAAAACACTCACCTTGACTCCTCGGTGAGTGTTTGTTTTTGTTTGTCATGTTTGTCTTTCAACATTAATGTTTCATTCACATTAGTCCATCCTACTGCGGGCGAAACTTTTATTTATTTAAGACCCATTAATGGTATTTAATTGTAATTAATATTGCAGCTCTAAACGACTTTGTATTGAGTGCATCATGAAATCAAATT